GGATTTACTTCACTGCACTCGGTTATATTTTTGAGCAAAAGAAATTTTGCTTCAGTTAAATTGTCTTGCATGTTTTTGTTCCTGACAGAAGGATATTAACATGCTTTAAGAACATAAGAACATAAGAGAAACCAATGTTGGATCATGCCAGTGGCCCATCCAGTCCAACACTCTGTGTCACACAGTGGCCAGAAATACCAGGTGCCATCAGGAGGTCCAGCAGTGGGGCCAGGACACTAGGAGCCTTCCCACTGTCGTCCGCCCCCCAAGCACCAAGAAGACAGAGCATCCCTTGCCCCAGACTGAGAGTTCCTGTCTATACCTTGTGGCTAATAGCCAGTGATGGACCTCTGCTCCATATGTTTATCCAATTCCCTCTTATAAGAACATAAGAGAAGCCAGTGTTGGATCAGGCCAATGGCCCATCCAGTCCAACACTCTGTGTCACACACGTCCAAAAATACCAGGTGCAATCAGGAGGTCCAGCAGTGGGACCAGAATACCAGAAGCCCTCCCACTGTTGCCCCCCCCCAAGGACCAAGAATACAGAGCATCACCTGCCCCAGCCTTTGAGTTCCTATCTATATCTTGTGGCTAAGAGCCACTGATGGACCTCTGCTCCATATGTTTATCCAGTTCCCTCTTGAAGCTGTCCATGCTTGTAGCCGCCACCCCCTCCTGTGGCAGTGAATTCCATGTGTTCGTCACTCTTTGGGTGAAGAAGGACTTCCTTTTATCCGTTCTAACCCGACCGCTCAGCAATTTTGTGGAGTGCTCACAGGGAGTTCTTGTATTGTGAGAAAGGGAGAAAAGGACTTCTTTCTCGACCTGCTCTATCCCATGCATAATTTTAAAAATCTTGATCATGTCACCCCTCAGCCGTCGTTTCTTTGTATCATTCACCACAGATGGCTACAGAAAAGAAACTCTGTTTTCATGTCTGTTGCTGGAAACAGACTTCTGTCCCCAGAAAGGAGAAACTGGTACAATAACGGTGCTTTCCCAAGCAGAGGTTCTAAGTCCACTGAAGTCAGGCTTGGGGGAACATGCTCCACCCACTAGAATAGGGGAGTCGAACTCATTCGTTATGAGAGCCAGATCTGACATAAATGAGACCTTGTTGGGCCGGGCCACGTGTGTCATAAAATGTAGTGCCAGGTAGCGGAGATATAAACTCTATAAGGGACACAAACACAAAGATTTTTTGTTACTTAAAATAAAAACATGCTTAGAATCATAGAATCAAACATTCTATGATTCTATGAATGTTAGAGTTGGAAGGGACCTTGCAGGTCATGTAGTCAGCCCCCTGCACTCTGCAGGAGCACAGCTGAAAGATAGCCCTACATACCTACAACATACCCGAAAGATGGTCGTCCAGCCTCCGATTGAAAACGTCCAACCAAGGAGCCTCCACCACCTCCTGAGGCAGACTGTTCCACTGCTCAACCCCTCTTACAGTTAGGAAGTTTCTCCTGATATTTAGCCGGTATATCGACTCCCTTGTAACTTCCACCCATTAGATCTAGTCTTGCAATCCGGAGCAAGAGAGAATAGATCTGCTCCATCTTCTACATGACAGCCCTTCAAATACTTGAAGACTGCAATCATGTCCCCTCTAAGCCTTCTCTTTCCCAGGCTAAACAGACCCAACTCTTTCAGTCTTTCCTCGTAAGACTTGGATTCCAACCCTCTCACCATCCTGGTTGCCCTCTTCTGGACACACTCGAGCTTGTCAACATCCTTCCCAAAATGTGGTGCCCAAAACTGGACACAGGACTCCAGGTGAGGCCTGACCATAGCAAAATAGAGCGGAACGACCACCTCCCGTGATCTGGACACAATGCTTCTGTTAATGCACCCTAAGATTGCATTAGCTTACCTTTGCAGCCACATCACACTGCAGGCTCATGTTTAGCTTGTGATCCACCAGAACACCCAGATCCCTTTCACAGGTGCTGCTGTCAAGCCAAGTCCCTCCCATTCTATGTCTGTGCCTTTGATTTTTTGTACCTAAGTGTAGGACTTTGCACTTCTCTCTATTGAAATTTAAAATTTATCTCTATTGAAATTTAAAACATTAGCTCTGTAACCTGCAAAACCTACTTTTGATTTATTGACATTCACCACAGAAATCTCATGCTCAGAGTTCTGAATCTAGGACCCAGGTGAAAGCATGAAATAGCAGAATGATTAAGAGAGCCTGGTGAAGCAAGCTACGATGCAGCAGCAGAACTGGATGGAGGAGATGGCCAGTTCCACTGCGGGCCTGATGCGGCCCCCGGGCCGCATGTTTGACACCCCTGCACTAGAATCTTGTTGCCAGTTTTTGTAGCACTTCAAAGCCTGGGAAACCAGTGTGACCCAAGAGGCCAGTTGCATATACACCCCACAGGTGAACCATTCTGCTACTGGACCCCTTTTGGAAAACGATTTTCTGCCTCCACACAGTTTCCTAGTAACTTACAGATACACTGCATTTTCATAAGAGGGCTCCCCAAATTGTCGAGACGAAACAATCAAAACGCTTCCGTTTGAACCCAGCGGCACCTGAGAGACCAACAGGATTGTAGAACCAACTGGAAATTCCGAAGACAGACTTGAAGCAAAGTGTTAAGTCTTAACGAGACGCATTAAATGATGCCAAATTTCATAGAAGGGTTCTCGTTTCAGAAAGTAACACACAGCAGTATAGACCACGGCCCCTAATATTTTTTTCCAAGCAACTTTCTAGCCAAGTGGATCGTTCCAGGGGGTCAGCCGTGTTGGCCTGAAGCAGGAGAACGAATTCAGAGTCCAGTGGGGGCACCTTGAAGACCAACCAAAGTTTATTCGAGGTATGTGCTTCCGTGTGCACGCACACTTTCTCAAATACCAATTTCCAATCCAGTGTATTTGAAAAAGTGTGCAAGGTGCACAGAACTAGGGTTGCCAAATCTCCCCCCCGCGGCGGGGGAGCGTCGCCGCGGTCCGGGAGTCGGGCGGATGTTCGTGCGCGCGCCGGCAGCACGTCGCCGGAAGTGACGGGCGACGTGCTGACGTTGGGGGCGTGGCTGAGCTCGTCGGAGGGGAAAACCATATGGATTTCCCCTCCAACGAGCTCAGCCATGCCCCCAACGTCGGCAACGTGGCTGCGTCACCTCTGGTGATGCAGCTTGGGGGGCGGGGTTCCCCCTGGGCCGGAATTCCCCTGCGGCGGAAATCGGGCCGCGGAAGCGGGGGGTTCCCCGCCCCCCGGCCCAATTTGGCAACCCTAACAGAAGCTCATATCTCGAATAAACCTTTGCTGGTCTTCAAGGTGCCCCCACTGGACTCTAAATTCTTTCTAGCCAAGTAACTCTTGAGAGTCCCTTGGACTGCAAGAA